TTGAAATCGTACGACTGTCACGTGCGCCACCATGGGAATGCCCATATGCGATATGCATTTGCATATTTTTGTCTTCCCTAGTTATAAATAATCTTATGAAAACCTAAAAAAGACATTATGATTGAAATGATGAAAATGAACAAAAGAACTTTTTAACAAAACTTGTTTTCAAATTTCTGGTTAGAGGTAATTTAGTTTAACTTAAATTTTACTTTTCGCTTATCAAAACTTTTCTTTTTGAAAAATGGTTAAATCTACATATATATGAAGGGGTTAGAATCATAAGGGTCTAAGTGATATTTTTTGAAAATATAAGTTATACCCATATTTGTATAGTTAAATATAGTGTCTATTTGGTGACAAAAAGATCCAATTCAAGTCATGAAGATGTGATTAAGCCCTTACATCCAAGTCCACCGAAGATTCCGTACTTAAAATGGGAAAATTTAACTCAACTTCTACCATTTATTCCACCTATTCATCAAAATTTTTACTTAAATATTCTCCATGAGACAAAAGCAAACAACAACAGTTCTAAAAAGCAAACTCAAAAGGCGATTATAGTTCAAGAAGAAAATACAGAATCAAATAAAGCCCACGTTAATGTTGTATATAATACCTTTTTACATAATAAAATGTAGATTTTCATAAAAATAAGCTTTTCCATTTATTTCCTTACAGAAATTAACCTAAGTAGGTCCTTAGAAGTAAAAGGATCCAAGTGACAAAAAAATATATTTCAGTTTTTTTCCATCTGTAGTAAGCATTCTTTGAATTAGTTAATTAACCTGCATTCATTTAGGCTAGAATCATTCAAACACATTTACCCAGAATTTACAATAAGTAATCACCTTTAACCTTAATTATGTCAAAACAATGTCAGACTTACTTAAGGTGTTTTTACACGATATGTATTTGCATCTGTAAATGTGACTTTCAATACATATGTAATTGCGTATGTCTGTCAAATTCACAGTATTTATTTAACTATTTAAAAATACGTTCATTGAAAATGAAATAAACTAAACTCAGATGATTCTACCCATTTGTCAGATGAAAATAGAAACATTTCTATTTCGTATGTACGTGCATCTGCCTTGTACAGAAACAAACCTAATTTGCCTTTACACGATATGTTGGCATTTCCATATGTAAAAAGTGGCATGAACACATGCAAATACATATCGTGTAAGAAAACCTTTTTCCTTTTGATTCTAACCCCTTCATATAAAAAATGGTGTGAAAAATGTATAGTAATTCATCAGTTGAGAACGGTTGGGCCGATTTGGCAAAATTTTTTTTTAGTTGTTTGTAATTGCCAGGAGAAGGTTTATACGAAAGAAAACTTTGGGAAAACCTTCCGGGAAAGTCTGGAAATTGGAAAAATCGAAATTTAATTTTTTTGTATGCAATTTTTTGTGCAACTCTTTCGGAATGCCTTTCGAATGGAAACATAGAAAATTCTAAGTTGAAAATTCGGATAAGTCCGGAAGAACGCGAAAAATTGAATTTTTTTTAGACCAAATTTTGCATTTTATCGCAAGATTTGATGATTTTAGACGATGTAAAGGTGTAAAAATCGTTGCGAAGCTTGGAAAATTTCGGATAATTGTGGAATTCATTGTACGCATGAATCAATTTGGAACAATTTTATCTCATGTTTCATAACCGATTCGAATGGTTGCTGCTTTTTTAGAAAGATGTTTAGAAGGAGGAGTACACAAAGTTTTAATTTTGCTGATAGGTGGCGCAGGGGTCGAGCTACGCTAAAAAATGCATTTGGTACGTATGTAGCCTTTTGCCTAGATTAGCATAAGCATTAAGTGGGCCAGGGACCGATCTATTCGAAAAAGTCTTATTTATGGTCCGATTTGCTTGAAATTTGGCATATAGGATATTTTTTCTGATAGGTGGACCAGATACCGATATATTGGAAATAATCGTATTTATGGTGCGACTTGCTGAAATTCGGCACGTAGGTAGCTTATTGTCTGGGTTAACATATAGGATATTTTTTTTGATAGGTGGACCAGATACCGATCTATTGGAAAACATCTTATTTATGGTGCGACTTTCTTGAAATTTGGCTGGTACGTAGCTTATTGCCAGGATTAACATATAGGATACTTTTTTTCTGAAAAGTGGACCAGGGACCGATCTATTCCAAAAAATGTTATTTATGGTCCGATTTTTGAGATATGCGTAGAATAGAATTTAGCCATTGTTTTACAGTTCGAAATGTCGCGTACTGGCTGCAACAAAATATTCTTTTGTTCCCCCTTCGTTATATTTACCAATTTCATTTCACTCGAACCGATAGGAGTGAAGTCTACCGACACTCAAGTGTACATATGTATGTACACACCAAATAAATAGTAGGATGAGCTCAAGTCGGGCGAAATAGTGTTTGTCGGTGGAGCCAGGGTTGCCACTGACTAAAAAAAATATTTACCATCCACTTGAAAAAAATCTACCAAATCTGGGAAATATCTACCAATAACTTTTTAACAATTATTTTAATAAAAACTATAGTTTTGTTATTTTCTTATTTATTCTAATTAAAACTATATTTTTTTATATTTTTTTTTAGTTATTTCAATAAGAATTAAAATTGATTCTAAGAACTTTTTATTTAACTAGTTATACGGTATTTGAGTCATATTATTGGCATATACGCAAACGTCAAGCTGTGAAGCTGTGTTTTTCTGTGATCTGTCTAAATTTTGTGTTTGATAAAGCTGTTTACGCTTATTAGAGTAAAAAATTAAAAAAAGTGTTAATAAACTTCTGGTGCACAATTTAAAGATAAGTAAAACATCAAAATTTCCCGTAAATTTGATTAATTTAACTTGATATTCTTAATTGCATGTGCCGAGTATTTTGTTTCATATAATATATTGTTGTTGTACAATTGTTTTTGTTTGTGCACATTGATTTTGCTCTTTTTGTCTTTTTGTCATTTCTGCTGTTTCATCTTTGTCACAGCTGTTTGCGTTGTGTTTATTAGGTGTC